AGCGCCACTGCATGCTCTCTGTAAGTTGCTGAATACTATAAATCCGATTAGCTACAAACACGTTGAATTTAGAGGGTACTTCCTTTAGCCATGACAACACCACAGTCGAGTCCGACCAGCAGTAAAACGAGCAGTCAAACGCCTTAATTTTTGCGATTTCGGCTGCTAAATGTTCTAGTAAATCAGCAGCGCAGAGCTCTAGCTTTGGCACTGTAAGCGTCTTCAGCGGGGCGACTCGAGCCTTTGAACGCAGTAGTTTTAGAGCATCCAGGAAAGCACCAGTTGAAAGGTCCTTAACCAGTTCCATCCAAACGGCCTTTGTTGCAAAACAAATGAATACGCTGATATAGCATTTCTGGGGCGATTTACTGCGCGCTTCGGGCTTATAACAGAATGGCGCGCAATAGTCCACGCCAGAGATGATAAAGGCACGCGAGGCTGGAATGCGTTCTTTTGCCAAATCCGCCATGATGTGCTCGAAAAGTCGTGGCTTTGATCTGCAGCATATGACGCCTTTTCGTAGGGCGCGTGCCACAGTCTTTCTTCCACCTATGGGCCAGTACTGCATGCGAATTGTAGCTAGAAGGGACTGGGGCCTGCGTGGTGACACTTTCAATGGAAATACGTAATTATGGCGAACGTTAAAGGATGATCCTTCGGAAGAATGCCTGGATGTCGTGCTTCGAAGCCGAGCTGAATGCTTTAGTCGGCCACCAACTCTAATAACTCCCAGGTCATCCAAAAATGGTGACAACGAAGCGATGCTGCTTGAAGGGTGGACAGTTTTGTTGTTCTTCAGCGCATCGTACTCTGGCCAAAGCTGCGCTCTTTGAACGAGGCGAATTAAAAGTTGAGTTCCTTGATGACCGTTTTTACAGGGAAAATGCGTTGCATCGTGCTAAAAGAGCTAATGTATTTAAAAGAGAGTGAGATATCGATTCTATCGTTTAAAGTCAGCAGAGCCCTTTGGCGAATTTTCGGAAGTTTGGTATGGGACACGGTGATATCTGGCGAATCGTGCTCTGCTACCTGCAAGAACCGAGGGTCCAAAGCGTTGAACGTGACAGCTCAGCAAGCGCAGCTCCTTAAGACAAAATATCCGCTGGGTTCATGGCTGTAGGAACGTAGCGCCACTGCATGCCCCCTGTAAGTTGCTGAATACTATAAATCCGATTAGCTACAAACACGTTGAATTGAGAGGGTACTTCCTTTAGCCATGACAACACCACAGTCGAGTCCGACCAGCAGTAAAACGAGCGGTCAAAAGCCTTCATTTTTGCGATTTCGGCTGCTAAATGTGCTAGTAAACCAGCAGCGCAGAGCTCTAGCTTTGGCACAGTATGCGTCTTCAGCGGGGCGACTCGAGCCTTTGAACACAATAGATGAACTTGAATGTAGCCATCTTTGATTGAGTGAGCATAAATACAAACGCCGTAACCCTCGAGGCTGGCATCGCAAAATGTGTGGACTTCCTGTGTGGCCCCTATGTAACGCGGGAATGATAAGTGATGCACGTCGACGAAGTCCTTGCAGAATGCAGACCAAGCTGTATCAAGCGATTGCGGTAGGCCCTCGTCCCACTCAAGTTTATCCCTCCACATACGCTGCATAATAATTTTCGCCTTGGTTAGAGTCGGACCAATAAGTCCAAGTGGATCATAGCAACGAGCTATGGTAGACAATGCAGAACGTTTGGAATTCCTGCCAAGGAAGAAACTATCCTTGAGTGGATCCCATACAAGACCCAATGCTTTGGTGATGTTGCTACCGCCATAAAATTTCAGGAAACTTTCTCTATCAGCATTAGGGATATCACCCAGAAGCTCCTGGCTATTGGAGCACCAGTTCCGTAAGCGGAAATTGCTGCGAGCGAGGAGGCTGGTCGTTCGATGCCTGATTTCGAGTACTTCTTCTACCGTGTTTCCACCGGATATCAGATCATCTACGTAGAAGTCGCGCATAACGATTTGTGCGCCTAAGGGGTAAGATGAGAACTCATCCGAGGCGAGCTGATGCATTGCCCGTATGGCCAGAAACGCTGCTGGCTTGGTTTCATACGTAACTATATCCAGCTTATAGACGCTGAATTCATCTTCTGGCGAGTTACGCCCCAATATGCATTGCAGCATGCTATCGGGTGCAGCAACTCGAACGCACCGATACATTTTGCATATGTTCCCGGTGAGTGCAACGGGGAATGAGCGAAATTGAACGAGAATATCGAAGAGTTTTGGGCTGAATCGTTGGCCCCGCCATGAGTAAGTCGTTCAAAGACAACCCCGAATTTGTGGAAGCAGAACCATCAAATTCGAATCTGAGCTTTGTTGTGGAGCTATCATCTTTCATGACGCAATGATGAGGTAAGAAATATTTACACTCTTGTATGGATGCGCTGGGGACCAGCGACATGTGATTGAGGTCAAGATACTCCTGAATAAATGCTGAATAGTTTGCTTTCATGTCGCTTACAGATCCAGATTTACAATCTCGCATCTGATGACCCGCCTTTATACAATTAAGGCAAAGATAAGGTTTCTTGGCCTCTTTCTGACGAAGGTTTGGCGATAAATTTGCGAACCGTTGGCATTGGTAAATGAGATGATCAGCCGATCCACAAAATGCGCAACCACACACAGAGTCTTTCGAAGCAAGAAATGATTTATTTTGATTGGTACTCACGTTTTTTCCATATTTTCCAACCTGCAATCTTTGCTCTACCATGGCATGCTCTACATTTTCGAGTGTTCGACAGCGCTGCTCTAAAAAGTTAGCTAACTGGTCCCACGACGGCAGCTCGTTGCTCGAAGAATTTTCCTCCCATTTAGCTTGGGTTGCCTTGTCCAGCTTCTGAGTTAACAATTGTATGACGATACAGTCTGCGATTTGTTCCTTGGACGCAAGTGATTGCAACGCGCGTATATGAGAAGTGACTTTGTCCGTCAACTCTCGTAGCTTGCTAACGGATGTGCCTACCCTGTCCAACCCAAAGATCCCCCTGATGTGTGCCTGAAAGATAAGTCTTTTGTTATCAAATCGTTTTTTAAGAAGTTCTAACGCAGTTTTGTAGTTAGCCTCGTTTATCTCTAGCGATCGAATGGTATCCAGTGCTGCACCACTCAAGCAGGAACGTAAATGCTGCAGTTTATCGGTTTGCGTTAGGGCTATCCTTATTGATGACAGAGATGAACATCGAAAGGAAGTTCATCCACTCAGTGTAGGCACCACTAAATTTAGGCAACGTCAGCAAAGGCAAGCGAGAAGGATTAGCGTTCACAATGATCGACTGGGAATCGCCGGCGTTCGCTCTGAATGTCGAGCAGTGGTGAGATGTAGTACGTTTCCCAATCTCTCGTTGCAGGTTCGCCTTAAGATGTGTAGGGAAGAACACTGGCAATGGAAGGGAAATCCAGTTCCTCCAAACTGGTGTGAGCGACAGCAAAGGCTGATTTTAATTCACCTAATAATTCGACAAGGGCTGCGAAGTCGTACTCATCCATGCCTTGGAGCTTTTCCGCGTCCATTTCTGCTGCTATGCGCTCAAGTCGGTTGAATAGGGGCATTGTTTTTGACTTCAAAAACAACACTCGGCCTGAAGACACTTGCCCACTCGCTGGAGCAGTGTTTGATGAATCTTCCCCGATGGCAGTACCATTAGCTGGGCTAAGCGGCATATTGAAGGTTCGAAATTAATAACTTGAGTGGCTGGTGATGTCAGCAACGCAACGAATATAAAGCAAACTTATGCAAAAATCTATAGAAACTGTTAAGCGATGGAAGGAGAATGCTAACGACAGCCGTGATGTGTGTATGTAACGTTACAGTCCTAACCGTTTAATGATCACGCCCCAAGCTCGCAAGTTTACCGTCCAGACTACAAGGAACGGATTGTATGTACTAGCCAAGGGCTATGTATGTACGCAGAGTTACAGTTGTGACCGTTTCACAATCACACCACAATTGCTTCAACTCATGGTGGTGATTGCAAAGAACGGATTCTATGTACTATGCAAGAAAATACATACATATGTACAGCAAGAATGGAAGTTGTCGCGCAGCACAACAAATATTGTTGTTAAATAACTAAATGTTTGTTGAATTGTTTTTCTTGTTTGCACAACTAAATTGCCACGGCTATCACGTCGGGGTCACCAAAAAATGTTGAGCTACAAAGCCTTTTTTGCAGCTATGAATGTCCAAAATCACTAAACGCACTGTGGTTTTAGTTTAGTTGTAATTTATTTCAAGACAATGGTTTTACTAATCAAATGGTACGTGGCCGTGACTTTAGTTGCACAACACAATTAAATTTCCTAAACGAACCGCTCCCAGTTAGGGATGCAAACGATGCATCGATGTTTCTGAAACATCGATAACATCGGCCAAAAAACCGATGTTTACCATCGATATTTGAAAAATACTCAACATCGTAAAATTGGCGATATATCGATGTCAATTTTAACGATGTTTTAAACATTGACTTTAGTTTCGGTTCAAAATTGCCATTGCGTTCACATCTTTATGTTATATTCTTTGGGCTCTGTCACTGGCCGTCTCCATAGGATAAAATTTATTGCTGCCCAGCTGTCATTTTGGTAGGTAGATATAATTTATATCAGTGGCAATATTTGTGTGGGCTTTTTATGTCTTGATATGAGCATTTGTATGATAGCTTCGAAAACGTATTTTTGCCGGATTTAATCGCTTAAAAAAATTAGAAAATAGGCTATTTTACATCCAAATACATAATTACAAATATTTTAACAGGAAACAGCTCAATTTTTGGTTTTATATTAAAATAATAATGATGTTGCAGCCACGAAGTTTTCGTGCAAATGAAAATGTAGCTGTCAAACTACCAAAATGCCGGCAATAGATGGCAAGATATAAGCTCTGATATATATTGCTCTCGAAGAGCAATGAGCGGTCTCCATTGGCAAATTATATTCTGACATATGTATCAAGATATAAACTTTATCCTGTGGAGACGGGCAGTAACACGGTCAGTATTTATTGACGTGATCCAAGTATCGTGATATTTATTGACGGTGTAGTATGAAGTATTGATGGATCGTGATCCATCGCAATATTTCTAAAAATTTTTAAATCTGGATAGCGGATCGCAATACCGTCAATAAATATTGAACGTGTAGCACTTTCAAAACGCGATCCATACATTTCTTCAGTACATCTTTTACTCTCATAATGTAAACATCGGCTCTGCCTTCACTCTCGGGGCTTAAAATCTTTCAAACCATCTTGAACAAATCTTAAAATAATTGTGGAATGCATTATCTGTAAATTATACGTACAAAATAAAAATATTTTCTTGCAAATACTGACGCGATAAATATTGAACATGTAGCATTCGTGCACGATCCATCAATCCATCAATATGGATCGCGATCCAAATATCGTGATAATTACTGACCGTGGGACAGAGCCCTTTGGGTAAGTGTATTATGGGTGATGGCAGCCCTGCACTTAATAAAAGCAATTGGCAATGTTGAACATAGGCGATTTCCATGACGATCACTGTATTTCAGGATTTGCAGGTTTTACAGGTAAAGCGCTTTTCACCATTAATAAACCTTATGGAAGAAGGCGTACGTTAACCGCTTCCTGTAAAAACCTGCAAATCATGAAGTACCTGCAACATACTTATTAAAAAGAGAAACATCGGAATATATCGATGTATCGATAGTTTTAGGGCGATTTTTTTCGGCATCGATGTTAGTGTTTACGATACATCGAAATATCGATGTATCGATGTGGGCTCTGAAAATTTGCATCCCTACTCCCAGTTAATGTCCAAAATCGAGTGTCAGAAAAAGCAAATCTCAGCTCGGAAAAACCGTACATATATGTTTATGTATGTATGCACATATGTACATACATATACCGCAGCTAAGGATGAAGAGAAAAGGCAAGTGAGAAAAAAACTACAAGAATGATTGATACCGATATTGAGCGCAAGTGATAAGATTAAGGTGGCCAAATGTACTAAAAATTAAAGGAATATTAAGTTATGGCATTATAACCACGCAGGGTAGTGCACATAAGTCATATGATGTAAAATGATTTTCTTCTAGTTAGGTTCCAGCTGCTGCTCCGAACAATGGGCTTGGCGCCTTTTCACCTTTAGATAGAGACTAGGCAATGCCCGCTTGCTTCGCGGCGCCTAATAAGATTTTTTGCGTTGGCCAATACAAAAATAGCGTTAAAAGCAAAGGCGTTCTGTAAAGTACACATTTTTAGTTTAAATTGAAACGAATAAAGAGCAGAAATCGGAGGTAGGTGCAAGATCGCATTTACGGTGTATGAGGTCGTCAGGCAAAGGTGCGCTTACACAATGTTGCGGTCTTTACATGCATACTTAGACGAATCCTCCAGTTAGCCATATGAAAAGTAAATTCGTCTAAGATTAATATAGGGCCACAGCAGACCAAAGTTTGAGTTTCTATATATTTCGGCTGCAGCGCAATCCATTCCATCTGCAAAACCACTGCCTGTCATGAAATGAATGCGCATTATGAATTTCAATCAAGATTTTATAAAATATAGCTGATCATTTTTAGGAACCAAATTTTTTATTATACAGGTAGCTCACTTTGCGAATTTGAACGAAATCGTTTAATAAATACGACTTTTATAAGTAACTCTACTCCAGCGCCACGAGCGTGTTGTCTAGTAGGCTATAATAGGACCATATATGCAAGGTTTAAATTCGGACAATTTGACTGGTTTTTGAGTTTAGTCTGAACAACGAAAACGGCTATCATTTTATGTATGTATGTACATATATGTTTTGAATAAACAAAAATCATCACGAAAGTAATAAACGTTTCGAATTTGCATTAAAAAAATCGGTTCAAAAATAGGGCTTATATCCGGTCCGTTTTCGTAAACGCTTTTTTCATCATGCAGGTAGCTTATACTTTGAATTTGAACGAAATCGGTTCATAAATACGACTTTTATAAATATCTCGACTCCCGCGCCACCTAGCGGGACTATTTTTGGCAAACGTATTTTCCATCATGCTGGTAGCTCACATTTTGAATTTAAAATAAATCGGTTCATAAATACGATTTTTATAAATAAATGGACTCCAGCGCCACCCAGCGGGTCTATTTTTCGTACGTATTTCTCATTATAGATGTAGCACAC